CTTTTATCTAGAGGGAAACACCATGAAGTTTGGGATTTGAATAGAACAAAAAAGAGCCCTGAAGTGTATGCATTGAAGACGATGCATACAGTAGGAAAAAGTGTGTACAGACCTAGCATGGGATTAGGAGGCATTGCATTGAAGTTGAAGTATGAACAAAAGAGGAATAGTGGGAAATTCTTGATTACAAACCAACATGCGTGTACATGTATGTACTGTACATTTACAAGAAGGTGCACAGAACAATTGCAAAGAGGACACAAATCACTCACATCCACCACAAGTGACTGCAGTAAGCTTGAAGATTTACATGTACTAGTACCTAACCTAATCATGTTTATGCATCCTTAGATGTAAACTGGATAATCCTTTGCATGTTACAATTTAGAAGTTCTTGTAAAAGATAACATCATCCAACATGCAGATGTACATGTAGACTTATTTTCTTAATTTGATCACTGACCTGTGTTTGGTAATTTCTTGGTTGAGTAGTGTCTCAAAAATTGTCCTATTGACATGTGTTTGGTTTGTTTAAAATTGCTGTTCAGCTTATTGTAAGGAAATGCCTTGAACATGAAAACAAATGACATTTTCCAACTGTACGTTTGATAATCATTTTCCTTTTTTGCTCAGTTTGATAAAACCCCAGTGGATATAGCTGCAGATCACCAGAATGAAGAGGTCATTGCTATATTGGAAATGGCTCAGGTGAGTTGAAATGTTGACTGGTTCCAGTAGACACCCAATTTATGAGGAAATTTTAAGAACACCTCCCCCCCCCCCCGAATTCAATGATATCAGCTGAACAAGGGGCACGTTTAGTCTTCAGGGAACAAATAACCATAAAAAACTCCTGCAGCCCATTCCTAAAAACTGTACACAAGGGCATAACTTCATTTGTCCAAAATTTTATGGTATAAATTGGACAACAAACTATGACTCGTATGATAGTTGCTCAGTGAGTGCATAAGTCTGCGACTCTCAAATCAAATTGTGGTTTTACTTACGCACTCTGTTTATGTATTTTTTGTACTTTTTTTTTTGCAGTTTTTAATTCCTGTCATTTATAGCTTAACCTTAACTAGCCTCTTTTTTTAGTGGAGATTCAAGTGTAAGATATAGAAGGAACAGTACCTCCTGGCAATTATCTCCCTGATTGGTGTTTGTTTTGTCCAAAATGTCTTGTGCAAGACTAGGTACAAAAGCAAACTGGAATAAGTTCATCACAAGACTACAAAAAGCAGAACTACTTATGAAAAACTTTGCCACTCCTTTAGCCCATTATTAATTCCTCTTGTGCCTTTGTGTAAATTGATCATGCAAGTAATTTTCAAAGTATTTTTGAAAATTGAACTATGAAGGTGTTTTTGATTTCTTTTGTTAACCACTTGATTAAAAAACCCTAATACCAGTTTTGAAAAATTCCCCTAATCCCAGCAACCTGGTCAGTGAAATCTCTCCCAAAATCAGCAGTTGGAAGTTCTTTTTAGATGTCCAAATTATTTCTCATTTGCCAAGGTAACAGTTACACATATTTGGAAGAAAAATGAACAAGACAAGCACCAGGCACAGAAATATGGAAATTCATGTCAGTTGCATGTATCAACAGCTTGCGTATGTGCATGTGACCATGTGCTGCAGCCGTTATTTTACTAGCACTTCGTGTCTGGTATTACCATTGTTCTCTGAATACTGTTGACCTTAAATTTCTGCAAAAATGAGAGAAATTCTACTCAGCCCGTCCAGTACCAGTAAATCAAAGGACAATTCTAAAACATTTACCTCTTCGAACTGCAAGGGCCTAGGAGACTAGCAACCTCATGTTGCAGCTGGTATCAGATTGACTCAGAGAGAGAATTCAGCTTTACGCGTCTTAACCAGTTATTGCCTACAAGCACATTTGAGTGATACATTGCCTTGACTACTATTGACTCACTTAGGCACACAAAATGCTGTGGACGACATTACAGTAGACAACTATTTGGTGCCTTTTATAACCTGTAGTCAACCCAACGTTGTTAGCATGGAGAGGGAGTTTAGACTCATAAAAGGAATTGCAATTGGCAAGTGGGCACCCTATATTCATGAGAATTGTTCAAATGCAGTCAGTCCTTCCTAAGTGTTGAAAGGCCTGTACATGTATCTATTGGATGTACTGTAACTGCTATTTTCTTTTAGGGAATGGGAAGTGAGGTGACAATAGAGGAAGCTCCATGTGTCTACATCACAACAGATGGTGATCCATCTGTCACTATCAGTCCCACTCCAGCAGCTACTGCACTGCAAAGCTTTGTCACAGCAGCAGCAAGGGCCAAATCTAAGGCTAGTTGTAAAGGTCAGAATAATCTGTCAAAGTAATTATTACAGTGCTTTTTTCAAGGAAGTCTTGCAGTCATATTCACAAGTTTGTTCTTTCTAAATCAATACCCTACATGTATCTCATGATTGTAAAACTTATAGATGCAGCTATAGTCATCTTCATGTACTTCGATGTTCATCAGTATTTGTACATCCAAGGGCTATAAAAGAGGAGTTCAAATGGCTGAAAACATTTTGACATACATGTCTGGGGTTCTTGAGAGAGAAAATCTGTGAAAATTTTTTTCCCATTTGTTGGAAAAAGCGTGAAAATCTTTTCCTACTTATGGCACAATTTGTGAAATGAAAAGGAATTCCCTGGGAGAGAAAAAATGTGAAAAAATCTTCCCATTTTGGTGTTAACTTTCAATCGCAATGTACTGTATAACCTGATTGCTTACACAAGCCCAATTGTAGTCCCCTTCAGGCAATCCAATCACTGACACTGCAGCGGCCATATCACTGCAAAAGGAAAGGTCATGTGACCACACATAGGGAAGCCAAAGTGAAAAAAATAGCAGGGCTTCACCTTGTAAACAAGACTAAAAAGCGATAGGAAAGTTATACCACACGAAGGTACTGTACCACGATAAAGTGGTTTAGTTTAATAATTTGTTAGGATAACTCCATTCCCCTGAGGTTCGAGTGGTCGAGATTCCAATGTATAAGTACTTCAAACATGTGACGTTTGACTGGCCGACTGTATTATGGCCTGCACCTGTTAACATTTTCCTTTTTTCAAATGAAAAAATACATGTACTTCTGAAGACAAAATTCCTTCAGTCTCTTGTTCATAGGTTTGGTACAGTCATTTTCCTAGTTATGGATCGGGAAAATTATTCAGTTAAGAATGCAGCTACAAAAGTCCTCAAATTCGAGTGAAATATGGTCAAAAGTCAAGTTTGTGTTGTGGAGATGATGCGCCTCATTTTTTTTCAAAATCTAAGCTTTTATATTTGGACTCACAGGATCGATCAATGAAAGTGACAAACGACACCTTTCCTAGTTCTGAATCAGTTTAGGATGGAGACAAAAAATCTTCACGAATAAAATTAACCATGCGAAAAATCCATTGTCAGCAAGAAACATTGTAAAAAGTTGCTCTAATAATGAAAGAATTTCTTAATTTTGAGAAAATTAGATGAAAAATAAGAATTCCAATGAATTAAAAAGTAGAAATTGCATAAAGTTGACTTGACGTTTCAACAGTATAGCAAGCTATCAACGGTACCCTCCCCGTGCTGCACAGTTGACGAACCCATTACGTCACATACATTTCTGCTGCGCCTGAGTAGTTGAGTTCACAACGAATTTGCCTGGTAACACCGCATGATCCTAAAGTAGGGGGGAAAGCTTTCAGTTTTTGGTCAATTAACATAAAAAAACCGTGGAAACTCTTGACAGTCATTTTGATTAAGCAGAAATTATATGCAAAGGTTTATATGACTGTTAAATCTAAAGAAGTATTTGAAATCACACGCAGTGAGTGACCTGTCACCCCTGAATTTTAGTGGCTTTTTCGCTTTTGTGAACTAGGAAAATTTTTGTACTAGGAAAAAGTCTGCACTTCAATGGGCGGAGTGGATAACGAAAGTAGCTGTCGATCTCTGAAGTTTCATGTATGAATGTGGGACCAGGTTTTCAGCGGCACAGTGATTTTTCAAGAAGTCTGCCCTTCAGTATGAAATTTCACAAACATTTTATACATAGAAGCTTGTTCCTAATTTATTCACATTTTTGTAAAAATGGGTATTCAGCCTGGACAAATGGAACCAGGTTTTGATATCGACTGGTTGGTACCTGGGTACCCGGCACAGCCCTACATACGAGGTCAACTCTTGTTTGTGTGTTAGGCTGGTGACGTCATCCTGAGACACGTTGTAAAGCAGGTATGCATGCATGTATGCCTTGCCGAGTAGTGCTTTGTTACGAAGTGTTTTGATGTGACATGGATGATTTATATTCTGGACATAAACTTGTATATTGTCTGAAAGTATATTATTAGTGTCAAAATAATTTTGAGAACATTTGTTCTGAAAGAGGTACAAGTCTTTGAAAGTTGTGTGGTGCGCAACATTGGTTGAGAAAATAAAGCATGGACAGCATTAATATATCGGTATAAAAAGACATTTACAACATATTACACATCCACAGACCACTCGTACTCCATGGAAAGTTAAGCATTCAGTGTAGTGCTACAAAGACAACTGCTTCACATTGGTCATTTAATCAGCCTTGTTTTTAGTCATTTTCCCAGTTCTAGATCATGAATGTTTTTTTCTGTCTGATTGCAGCTTAAGTAAACCTCAATTTCTACATGTAATTAAAGGAGATCAGCAGTTCACTGTGTGTGCAGGAGATACAACAAAAATATTTTCAAAATTTAAACTTTTAAGTTGAACTTTTAGGATCAACGAAATTGATGATGACATTTCTTGTTCTTGATCACTTTAAAATTTCTTCAGGCATTAAAAGTAATAAGTCTATATGACTGTCCAGTACGAAAAAAGTGCTTGTTCTTTCAAACATAGTAAGTGCCGTTTCACCCTGTCAAGTTTTCTCAATTTTTTCATCAAACAGTATATCAAACTGTTAATCGGAAATCAGCCCCAAATTCCTTTTCTGGAAATTTTATGAAAATAAAATTTGCACAAGAAGCTTGCATTTAATTTAACCTTTCACAGCAGCACTCGTCTGCAAAAGTGGTATTGGACAATATAAAAAGGTAGCTTTTCTTTTCAATCAATTCGGATAACTAAAAAAATCTGGAATAACTGCCCATGTGTGTGTGTTCTGCATGTAAAATCCCCATTTCGTTGTCAAAACAGTGAGACATGTCTAGATCCTGAAGTGAAAGTGATCACGGATACGATCCCATTGGCAGTGACGATAATTAACCCATCTGATACTGGTATGATCAACGTAGCCCAGCTGAAAAGTACATGCTGCTGCTGCACCATGCAATTGGCGGGGCTGTCCATATGTTCCCCTCATCACTCTCCTAAGTTACATGTAGCTTGCTTCTGAAGAAGATGGATTTGTATGAACATATTGTTCTTTGGTAAATAAAAACCAAGTCCAAAAATCCTATGACATATCACTCATCAGTAACCACAGGGAATTTTGAAATCTAGCTTCATTTTGTTGATGGGCTTGTTGAGGCAAGAGTCAATGTGAATGTACTTGTCACGAACATGTAGGATATCATGAGGAAAGGCCAAGTCTAAGTTTTTGTGGGCAATTCTGTTCAAAACTATCAAAAAATGCAGGAAATCACCGATTCAGACTAGAAGGATGGAACAGTCAGTGAGTGGACAAAGCATTTTGAACATACCTCCACTGTACCACAGTACTTGCCCAAACCAAGCATCCTATTCATGGTGTGTTGACTCATGTCATAACGTTTTCAGCATCATTAGTATGTAATGGGTGGCCCATGGTTTTGACATTTTTTCAACCATAAATAGGAAAGCTGTATCATCATTTCCTGTTTATTTCTTAAGATGTCCTTGTCATCTGTTGCAATCAGGCTCATTTCACGGAAAGCAAGATGCCATTTGAATTCCTCTTTCAGGGATAGAGTTTTTTTTACTTGTTCTTTGCAGTTGATTTTCATGAATCTCAATTCATTCCCCATGATATGCTTGTGTTACTGTAACTAATATTGTGATGTACTTCATCCTTATCACACAGTTGTCACTAAAGTACCCACTACAGCAAGTTCTACATCAGTGCTGGCAACGTTGGCAGCTTTAGCTGAGGCCTCTACACCTCTCAACAAACTTTGTACATGTCCATGTATTTATGTTCATTATAGCCATTTGTCCTTTGTTGTATCAAAATTCATTATGTGACCAAGTCTCAGTTCTCAATGTGATGTAGAACCAGTCACATATTTGGAAAAGAGGAGTTTTTACTTCCAATCAAAATCCTTGCTTAAACTCAAGCAGGATGTTGACAGGATTTGAGATTACCATTTTAAAATAAGTAATGGGAAGTACCCAAGTACTAGCATTCCTAATGTTTGAATCCTTTAGTTTACTTTGTTCTTCAGAACATTGTAGTGATAATGTTTCTCATTGTATTTCCTTTTTTGTGCTAGAAAAGATAAGAAGTTCAAAACAGTAAACTTTTGTCAAAAGATAAAATAATAAATGTGACATGTACATTACAGTAGTTGTTGTTTTCTTTCAAAGATTACCAAGTAATGAGAAAGTAGTGATCTTTTATTAACCGTGAGTTAATAGCTGCACTTATTACAAAAAAAAGGAATTCACATTGTAATTTCTACTATCCTTGTTCAGATTTGCGTATTTAATATTATTATTACTATTAAGTCTTTCTGGCAATGAAACCAAGGATTCGTCAAAAGTACCCTGTAGCGTGTTAGCCTGAAGAAACCTGTAGAGAGGAGACAGTGAGAAGCAGTTACAGATTTAGTGGTGGGAGGAAAACCCCAGAAAAATATTCTGGGTAAAACCCACAAAATTGAGTAGGGACTGAAAACCCAATCCACATGTGGACTGATCTGGGAATTAAACCCCGGCCGCAGAGGTGAAAGGTGAACAAAGAAGTACCATGCCAACAGCAACCTGACTCCCCCAACATATATTGCATGTTACACTTAGGTTTGTCAATTGTTTGGGTTATTGTTTACAGCTGCCCACAGCAATAGAAGTAACTCTCTATATGGAACAAGTGGCGAATCACTTCAGATGTATACATTAACAGAAGCTGGAAAGCTGGCCATGCAGTGGAAGAAATTCAGCAATGAGGATGAGAATCGAAAGCAGGTGAAAGCAAATGTCCTCTGTATAATGATGTCAACAACAGTAAAAGGATGTTTTTGAGGGGATGCAACATGAATTCATAGTACAAGTACATTTATTTCTCCATAATTAACATTGTGCGTACTTCAATTTGTGGTGTAGATTTAAGTGGCTATCTCCTCTATTGTCAAACATAAAACACAGGTAGAAAGGCTGGGAAAAATATAAAGTCCACTATGCTCATCCTACCCAAACAGTCGTTGCTTTAGCAAATTTCCTTTCATGCCTTTTGCCTTTCACTGAAAACTTGATCAACTGTAGTGCACCCTCTAGTGCTACAATGCAGCATGGCGTCGCTGGCCTGCTCGTCCTTGTTTTTCTTTAATAGTGCCATTGCTAACAGACGAACTTCAAATTTCTCAAGTTTCCACTGTACTATACTTTCTGTAGTAACCTGATCAAATGTAAGTTTTTGTAAATAAAAATCCTTTTCATTGTGCTGTGTCGATTTCTTTTCTATGGGTAAATCCAGAAATTAGGGGTCCATTTTTTTTCTGTGTCCCTGTCACATCTGATGTGATTTTGTAAGTTCAGAACATATTTTCTAATTTCTAAAGGGGATGAAATAATGCAAATTACCTGCCAAACAAATATTAATAGTTTGAAATCAGTTCTGGTGATATTTCAATGTCAAATAATAGTTAGATTTATCAGGGACACAAAAATGTCACACTTTTGGACCCCTGATTTCTGGAATTTCCCTTTTATATGTGCCATGCCCTTGATTTAAGTGCTTGTTGTCAATTTTGTTGTGATGCATTTCCCTATCCTCATCCCTTGTCTGTGTCCCTTCTCTTGTCTGTGTGTGTGTTTATGTGCATACTTCCAGGTTGTCCTATGTTGATTCTACAAGGAATTCCTTCTAGTACCTTTATAGCGTCAACCGGGTGACTGTAACTTGTAAACTCGGGGACATGCACACCTGTATTTACTGTTTTGAACTGCCTCTATCCATGTTAGTTTGGGTATGCTACTGAGCAACACGAAGGGCTACGTAAAGAACTGTCTATCCCTGTTTGCGTGGGGGACAAAGTCTACCAGAGCCCTCACAACTGCAGCCGACTGGGACGAACCTTGTGGCCGCTTCACCTCTAAACCCACCAGCATCCGAAACCTTTTCAACAAGGGCACCCAGGCATGAACCAGACAATAGCTCTTCCCAGGCCAACTCCCCATGGCTCTCTGGGGTTGCCCCGGTGAATTCACAATCGGAATGCAGATCCACTGCTGTGTCTCTCCAGTCCGCAGCTCACGCAATTGGACCCACTTCTGCAGGCCCAATATCATTCCATCCTCCAGCTTCTCCTTGGGGCTCTCCGGAAAGAAGGTCTCTGGGTCTAATACCACTGCGGCTCCTCATGCACAGTTGCCTCCTGACCATGAACCACAGAATGACCATTCTTCTGTCATTTCCGCCAATCCAGCTTCGTCTGCAAACTCCTGCAGGTTATCCAGTGCATAAGAAATGTAAACACTCCACATTTTCTTCAACTGGGTAAACTTTTAAGAAGTCATGTTTCTCCAAACATCAAGACGCATCTTCCTCTGCTATCTTTTTGGCTTTCCAGTCCCTCTTTGATACACTGCCCTTACTGGTCAGCTGCTTTGATCCACTCTCTGTGACCTACCCCTCTCAGTGCAGACACACATTAGCTGTCAGTGTGGGCTCAGATAACCCAGCAGACAATCAACCGACATCTGAACCTGCATGCGATCTCACCTGAGACATGCAGCAAGACTTGGTCCAGTTGCAATCCGATCTTCAAGATACATCTTCCGGGGATGAAGAGACTCCACTACTAGCCTTAACCCTACGGAGGCTCATCGTCTGCTCCTGAGAGATGTTATTCAGGTCCTGGGTCCGCCTGTCTCGTCGCCAATCAAAGAGGACTCCGAGTCACACCAATCCTTCAGACTGGAAGCCTTGGTACCGATTTTCCAGAAATGCCTCTAGACCGCTTACGCGTGGAAATTTAACCACTCCGTGCCGGGGCATTTTTCAACGTTGAGGATGCTGGGCGGGTATGACTATCATTTTTTCCGTTTTCAAAATCCTTCAACAATTCATCATTCCATTTAACAGTCGTTTATAGCCGCACCAAGTAATCTTTAGGCACTGCTCTAAGTTGACAGGTGACCTTCATTGATGCCCGAATATTTCAGCTAGGCCTGCAGCCTTGTAAACAGAGCCCATATTGTGCTGTGTTATACAACTGTCTTTTGTTCACGAACCTGGCTCAGTGCACTGCTGACCTCTTTTCA